TAAATGATTTTAGCAAATGGCTGCAATATAACAAAGAGTGAAAAATTTAAGGGGGTCTGAATACTTTCCGTACCCACTGTATATATAGTAATAATTTTAAATATTTAGATGTTTATGAATATTAATTATGAAATATAATAGAAATATTTTAAAGAATTATAAATATATTTATTATTATTATTATTGTTATTATATCATTGATTTGTAGGTGAATTTTAAAATATTTTTTTTTGTTGTTGAAGTTGTATTATGCTATTTTGTCAAAGTCTTTTCCTGTCTATATATAATATAGATATTTGTTTATATATTAAATATAAAATAAAAATAAATTAATATATTATTATAATATTAATACATAATATTTTATATATTTGAATACAAATATTTTGTATATTTTTAATAAAAATATATAATATCAATCACTTAAATGTGTGTTTGTGTGTATGTGTGTGTGTATATATATATACACATATATATAATGGATATAGATATATCAGCACTAGTGTTAAGTGTGTTTTATGTGTGTATTTTCAGGCTCCAGCTCATTGATGATCTGTCATATGAGGATGTAAAGAAATGCTACAGGGGTTCAGTAAGTATATTTCAATATCCAGCAGCTGAATAATAATCTGTCTGCTATTCCTTGTGTAGTGAAAAACACGTACAGATTCAAAGCGATTCAACTCGATTAAATTGTACAGTGCTTTGGCTAAAATGCAGGTCTTCAGGACGTTGTGTCATGCGAGAAAATGAGTCTCAATTAGGCTTTCCGTGATAGACGGTGCTGACGTTGATACCGGTGTTAAGCCGCAACACCGGTTACGTCACTTGCCCACCGCGGCACCGTAATAAAAATCGTTTAGTTCAGTAAAAGAACAGACACTACAATTAAAAACTGAACGCGGCTGCTCAATGCAGTGTGCCGAACGACAGCATCACAGATTAGTCGGGGTGAGGCGAGGCGAGGCGAGAAGGGCGAGGCGAGACGGACGAGAAGGGAGAGGCGAGGCGAGACGGACGAGAAGGGTGAGGCAAGACGGACGAGAAGGGTGAGGCGAGACGAGGCGAGACGGACGAGAAGGGTGAGGCGAGACGGACGAGAAGGGTGAGGCGAGACGAGGCGAGACGGACGAGAAGGGTGAGGCGAGACGGACGAGAAGGGTGAGGCGAGACGAGGCGAGACGGACGAGAAGGGTGAGGCGAGACGGACGAGAAGGGTGAGGCGAGACGAGGCGAGACGGACGAGAAGGGTGAGGCGAGACGGACGAGAAGGGTGAGGCGAGACGAGGCGAGACGGACGAGAAGGGTGAGGCGAGACGAGGCGAGACGGACGAGAAGGGGGAGGCGGGACGAGGCTTATGAATATTAATTATGAAATATAATAGAAATATTTTAAAGAATTATAAATATATTTATTATTATTATTATTGTTATTATATCATTGATTTGTAGGTGAATTTTAAAATATTTTTTTTTGTTGTTGAAGTTGTATTATGCTATTTTGTCAAAGTCTTTTCCTGTCTATATATAATATAGATATTTGTTTATATATTAAATATAAAATAAAAATAAATTAATATATTATTATAATATTAATACATAATATTTTATATATTTGAATACAAATATTTTGTATATTTTTAATAAAAATATATAATATCAATCACTTAAATGTGTGTTTGTGTGTATGTGTGTGTGTATATATATATACACATATATATAATGGATATAGATATATCAGCACTAGTGTTAAGTGTGTTTTATGTGTGTATTTTCAGGCTCCAGCTCATTGATGATCTGTCATATGAGGATGTAAAGAAATGCTACAGGGGTTCAGTAAGTATATTTCAATATCTAGCAGCTGAATAATAATCTGTCTGCTATTCCTTGTGTAGTGAAAAACACGTACAGATTCAAAGCGATTCAACTCGATTAAATTGTACAGTGCTTTGGCTAAAATGCAGGTCTTCAGGACGTTGTGTCATGCGAGAAAATGAGTCTCAATTAGGCTTTCCGTGATAGACGGTGCTGACGTTGATACCGGTGTTAAGCCGCAACACCGGTTACGTCACTTGCCCACCGCGGCACCGTAATAAAAATCGTTTAGTTCAGTAAAAGAACAGACACTACAATTAAAAACTGAACGCGGCTGCTCAATGCAGTGTGCCGAACGACAGCATCACAGATTAGTCGGGGTGAGGCGAGGCGAGGCGAGACGAGACGGACGAGAAGGGCGAGGCGAGACGGACGAGAAGGGAGAGGCGAGGCGAGACGGACGAGAAGGGTGAGGCGAGACGGACGAGAAGGGTGAGGCGAGACGAGGCGAGACGGAGCCAGGCGAGACAGACGAGAAGGGTGAGGCCAGGCGAGACGGACGAGAAGAGTGAGGCCAGGCGAGACGGACGAGAAGAGTGAGGCGAGTCGAGAAGGACGAGAAGAGTGAGACAGACGAGAAGGACGAGAAGATTGAGACGAGAAGAGCGAGGCGAGGTGAGACAGACGAGAAGAGCGAGGCGAGACAGACAAGAAGAGCGAGGCGAGGCGAGACAGACAAGAAGGGCGAGGTGAGACAGACGAGAAGGGCGAGGTGAGACAGACGAGAAGAGCGAGGCGAGACAGACGAGAAGAGCGAGGGGAGACAGACGAGAAGAGGGAGGAGAGGCGGGACAGACGGGTGAGGCGAGACAGACGAGAAGAGTGAGGTGAAACAGACGAGAAGATTGAGGCGAGACTGACGAGAAGAGTGAGGCAAGACAGACAAGACGAGTGAGGTGAGGCGAGACAGACAAGATGAGTGAGGTGAGGTGAGACAGACGAGACGAGTGAGGTGAGACAGACGAGACGAGTGAGGCGAGACAGACGAGAAGAGTGAGGCGAGACAGACGAGAAGAGTGAGGCGAGACAGACGAGAAGAGTGAGGTGAGACAGACGAGAAGATTGAGGCGAGACCGACGAGAAGAGTGAGGTGAGACAGACAAGACGAGTGAGGCGAGACAGACAAGACGAGGGAGGGGAGGGGAGACAGACGAGACGAGAGAGGG